TGAAAATTTTAGCTGCCAAGCTAAAGAAGTCGATCGTGAATGAAAAGATAAAAGAGGCACGCGAGCAAAACGAATTATGATTTGTACGGTCCGTTACATTCGAACAAGGCGCATTGTCGCGGTGACAGCCTCGTCCACACAATCAGATGGGTTATCGATAATCGACGGCTATTCGATTCCAATTCACCGAATAATCGAGATGAAAGCACAACGATTATTCGGTTACCGATTGTTGCTCAGGTAGTAAGGATTTTATTGTGTAACAAACATTGAATTGGGTTTATATATGTTTTATGTCCACATCCTTCTGAATTGTGACGTGCTTATATAGTTTTTTTTAACAATATTCTCAGATGAAAGCATTCTTTAATTTACTTCAATAAGCTCGTTATTCCATCAATTAAACATCACAATCCTTTATCTTTCTAGTGATTTTATAATCATAAATTAGTCATAAATGTCGTAACTTTTTGCACTTTTAAAGGTTCGATGAACGCTTATTATTCAAATATTATTCAAGAGGCGCGAAAGCGTCTTCGTAACCTCAACGATATACGTGAAATGAATTTGTAACGATGTACGTCCTGACTGCTGTTAATACCTTAATGCTAATAAGGTCTAGAAATCTGTACAAGAGTCCTTGTATATGTCTCTTTGACAGCGTACATTTATTATATGGTTTGACTTGATGTTACTAACCCTGAAATAAATATAACTTTGACTAAGTTTTTGAGACCAAAATCTCTGTTTAAAACATATTGCTAACTCTGTTTTGTCAAAGATAATGACAAGGATGACGATGTGTTTTACAGATTTATACTCGTATCTTACACCAATCTACTGTAAGTAGTAGATAAGCTTCAATAGTATCCAAATGTGAAGACAATAAGTAAAAGAAGAACTCCAAGTAACCTTTTCTATTTCAAATAAATACATATAGTATAATTAGTGCTCTCTACAAAACAGAGTCTTTGTGCCGGCGCCGGCGCACTAATTATAAGTTCCTAGATTACGAATGGCGCGATTGTTTATATTCTATGTCTTGTAACAGAATCGATTCTTCGCTCCGCTAGATCGCAACGATTTGTAAGCGGGTTGCAAACGATCTTAAAGCGAGATACAAGCTTGCATGGGCAGTCTCTGGCTCGCATTCCGATGGAAATTGCCCGCAGCGGCGATCACCGGCGCCGCTGTCGATAATTACCCACCGTCTAGAAAACACATTAACGAAGATAATTCAGCAAGAGCAATTAAAGGGATGAGACTCGCAAATATGCTGTTAATACAACCCAGTTCGCAAATATTAAACAGTGGAATTGCAGCGGATCTTTTGAGATCAGAAATACTAATGGATAATAGATTTGTAATTATTTCCAAGGCTGTTTTTACAAACATCCCGTCAATTACTCTTATATTATGAACTATAGTTAACGCTGCAATATTGTTTCTCTAATTACAAAAACTGGAAATTAAATAGGCTAAATTACAACGTATATTTTTATTCCATGTTAAGAATCACATACAAGGAGATCTGATATTTAATGTGATTTAAAATAGGAATAAATGAGGTTAGGTAATTGATGAAGATTATCATCGTCTGTCCAAAACAGTTTGCAAATATGTGTTCTTTGTAACTTGTGTTAAGCAGAAATGAAGACGCCGCAGATATAAATGCATCTATTAAATCAATTTTCAAACAATGCCGAACTACCTTTTATGTTATAGACAAGCACAAGATATTATACGCATGAAAAAATAGACATCATTTAATAAAACTGGACGAAGTCGCAGATAATAAGTAAAGAAAACTTGTTCTTTGAATTATGAAGAGTTGCAATTAATAGAAATCAAGTGTGGAATGTAAACAAGGCCACGAAGCAACCTTGCTCTTCCGCCATTCGCAAGCGTACGACTTTCGAAGTAACAAACGGGCCCGGCGCGAGCCACACTTGATTAGCGCAATAAACTACCAGATAAAACGGGCCCCGACAGCGTGTGAACGTAAAGAGAAAGCCACGACACTGTTGCAACCTCAGCCGACTATAACTCTATACCTCTATGCCGGTTCTGATGTATTTAGCGGCCATATTTGATTACACACTAAACACGTGGCTTACTTAATCTGTGATGAGTTACGATAAAGCTGACAGTTTATAGTGAAAATACAGTTAATTTTAGTATTCAAATGTAAGATTATTTTAAAATTCTTTATTTTGTGTCTCCAAATAAATATTATAGAATTTTAAGAAAGTATGTTAAATTATTCGAATGATTTAAATGCGAACATTCCGCAAATGTCGAAAACTTAAAGTCAAAGTTAAAGTTTTGTTCTAATGTTAATTATATCTCAATCTCTGTCAATTCTATTTTCTACCGTCTCTTTTACTGAAATAAATTTACATTTAAATGGAGCATTCATCGCAGTCAACATGCATTAAAAGATGTTCTTACTTTGACTGTAAGAAAATTACATTCTCGCACTGAGCAGAAACTATTTCACGCTATCTCGCTACTGATCTAAATTGAATCCTTAATCCGATGTGATTTGCGACGAAGAAATGACGTTGAGGATTTCTGCAAATTGGATGGCTACAGATCTAGTTATATCGGAAACTCACTGCACAAATAATTATTTCCATATCTAAATTTGTATATCAAACACTTGTTTAGTTTTTAATTAAGTTCTTCTGTCGAAGGTTTTCTTTCAAGTCCATTGATTTCTCCATCCTTCTAGCTTTGTTTCTCCATATCCAGAAAACTATTGGTAGCTTTCCAAAATATGCAACACAATAATTGTTAGCACTATATAGCCCTTTGTTAAATCCTTTGTGTTACTACGATCTGAAATGAACGCTTTGAAGCTTCAAAGACTCGGACACGTGTCGGAAAATGAACGATCACTTTGAAGCATCGAATTCTAAACCAAAGCGCAATTCAATTTACAAATTATGTTTAAATCCGTGAAGCCACGCGCTCACGGCAAATGCACCGTGAACATAACAAAAAGAAATCCAAAGGAAAACAAACAAACGAGCATCGGCCGACCGCGTATAATAATAAATCTCTAAAAACTAAAAAATACCAAGAGGATAAGAAGCACTTTACTTTATCTTATAATGTTTTAACCTATACTTACACATCCTTCGCTTATTAGTATCTCCATCCTTGTCTACCCTCGCTCTTTGCTCCTCCTGCCCGCCTCCGGAGGGCCATTTATCAATTCCAAATAACGTCGGGACCTTTTCTCTCTCGTGTTTATTTATTTTTTACTTACTTCGATCCTTTGGTGCGCCGTCCGTGCCGGGGATTTTAACTCGAAATTGATTGTAAGGCTGACTTAATGACGTCCATCCAATGCATCGTATGATGCTTCGATAACGCTAATTTTACAACTAATGAGTAAACATTTGAGGGCATCTGAGAATAAAGTGCCTAAATAAAGTACTCATTAGTACTAGCGTCAATAATCAATATTCTTGCAATTATGGCCGAAAGAGGACATGGAGTGTAACGCAATCGCAAGAGACTAATAGAAGTGTTTGTGTAGTTTATACTCCAAAGGTAATATAATAAATTAAAAATAAAGATATCCATATAATTTGTAAGTTATGAAACATCGTGATGCTTTAATTCAGTTTCTTTACTATTTATCCATTTATTGCCGGTTCCATATCTACTCTCCCGAAGACCACAGTAAATTTTCCAATAAGATGTAAAAAAAATCTTAGTTAAAATTACTTTATCGTTGCAAATTAAAAATTTAAATTTGACCGATTCCATCGTATGGACAATTTTAATAGTCTGTCGATCGACGACTCACTCGACGGGTCGGAAATTGGCCGTGATTAGGGCGATCTCAGTCGGGAGAGATATTTTAAAGATTCCATGCGCCGAGGGGGTCCGAATTGAGGTTCCCCGTGAGCAAATAAAGCGGCGTCCCTCTGAAATTAATTTCGTTTTGTTTCACAGTCTGGAACCGGCGCGGGCGCATTAACATTGAATGCGCCCGGTTGCCGGACATTATTTATGTAGGGGCCCGTAGAGTATGATGTGGGCATTATTCATACGGGATGCTTCGGCCAGCTGTATATTATTTTTGCCGGTTCATCGGCTTCTCGATAGGTCACTTCGAGTTCTACTGATCTAAAATATTGCAGTAACATAGTTTCTAGTTTTAATATTTATTTTGATTCCGACTTCAAGATTTTGAAGGAGTCATAAGTAGTTAAATTACAATATTTTAACTGTGGTATCTTAGTATTTTTTAACTTGTTTGGCTTGAGGTGAAATTATTACTGCTTGCGTTGCCAGTGGCCACTCTTTGTTGCCGTCAGTTTCTCGCACAGGATGTTATTGTGCGTGCGATCGGGTTTAATTCGCATTTGGCACAGTCGTGGGCGTTTACTGCCTAGGTGTACTTAAGTTTATAAGCGTTCTAGGTCTAAACATGTGGTGCATTTTGAGCGCTATCAAATTTTACTGCGCCGTCGGGCGCCAGCCTCCTGCAATGACAATTTCCTGTGAAACTTGGCGGAGACAATAAATTTTATTCGTCCGTTTAACTGCAGTAAGTAAATCTCGCGGGTTTGCAACGTCGTTAAACGTTCTGATGAGTAATTGTAAAACGCTTTGCTATTATTCCCGTGTCCCGTCTTTACGTGATAGTTTATTACTCAGGGTTTTATGTTTGTCGCGATTCGAACTAATCGTTTCAGTAAAACGAATTCACTCGAACGTTATCATCAAAAATTTACGAGTAAATGAATTTGAACTAAAAGGAGACTTTCTTAAAATAAACGACACTGACAATTAAAAACAATTCTTAGAATAGCGTATAGAATACTAACGTGAACTTTTAAGCAAAGAATGCGTTAAATATAACTTGATTCAGGAGAAAATAACTAACAGACAAGTCTCGAAATGAAATGCGATCTGGGAGACGATAAACTTACCGTTAGCTTGAAGTATTTATATTTCTAATCTAATGATCTTGTTTGCAGATACTATGTCCGGCGATGTAGAGGGTGTGCGGTGCTACTGCAACACAGCTCAGTGCGTCGGCACCGCGTACATGTGCCGGGCACGACGCGGTGGTGGTTGCTACAGCGACCTGCCAGCACCCCGCCCGCATCACGCCAGGCACGGCTGTCTACACCACCTCGCTGATACGTGAGTTTATATTACTAGCTTTTAATATATACTTTTTAAAGCCCCACACTCGTTCTTGTTCAGTGGTTTCACTTCTTTACTCCATAAATCTCTAGAAGGAAGTTTTGTAAATCTTGGGAACTTGATTTTTGTTTATTAAATAATAATCAGCTCCTATACAAATTAGCCCATCTTTATCTCTTCTAAACCGTGAGATAATCCTATATGAGGACGACAAATTGCAAATTAACAAAATTCAAAACAAAGTTCACATATAAATTGCACTCCTTCAAAAAACCTATTCGAATAGAGATCGATTAACATTCAAGGAACGTCGGAGTCATCTGCGCTCGTAAACTAAACTATTTAAACAGAATTTGGTCCATTGAAAAGTCTAAAGGTTGTAATAAAATGTGTAGTCTTTTTGTACGGCCCCAAAAACATGGAACGAGAATTCGAAGCTACAACATGCCACGAAATTCCCGTAACCCTTATTACTGATCAACACTAATTAATGTAGGTCTCACAAAAAGGATGCCTTCTAAGGAAACGTGGCTTTTGATGTTTCACAAAAATCATATATTTACATTAAATTGCAGTGTTACAGATTTTAAATTGTAATTCTGAATTCTTTTTACTATGATTAAAGCTTTGTCCAATTCAGAAATGCTTCGTGATAGTTGGGACAACATTGACAATAAGCGCCAATAGCCTAATAGGTAAGGGTCCCGATTTCCGAACACATGATCGAGAGTCCGCATCCCACCATTCGATTGTCGTAAACCATGCCATTGCACAAGCCTAGAGCTTAGTTGGAATGGTACAAGAAATTATTAGTAAATTAAGAAAAATACTGCTAATATTAAAAAAACAGTAATTGTTCGCTTGTCGTTAATGAATAATGAAAAGTAAGTTTACTTGAACCATTTAGCCTTTAAAGACAACGGTCTATTCGAAAAGTTCAAATCAAGGTACAAGAATCTTGTATGCAGACAGATTTTCCTAAAATTCGTATATTTTTTTCTTAATAAATTACTTTTAAAACATAAACAATGTTATCAACGATACGTAGAAGAATAAAACATCTCGTTCCATTGTTCTTGAGCTAAAAATATAATCTGAACAATAAATACATCGTGGCGCACTTACATCGTGTTTGCGTGTTAATTAAAACAAAAACAATTCGACGAAATATATTTGCTTCGACGAATACAAAGTATATATTTCCAACAGCTGGATTTTCATTATCATACATTTAATTAACCAGTATCTGGAAATTAACATGTTCACAAATATACTGAAAATCTAAAGGGCTTGTTTTAAGGTTATCTGCAAACGCGTTAGTAATAGATTTATTCGTTTCTATAGGTTCTCGTCGATGGCTCAGGGGTTAAGCACTTGTGTTATAATCCACAGGTCCTGGTTTCCAATCCCGCCATTTACCAATGTGTATTTCACACTACGATTTACATATGTACATTTATCCAACGTTCTTACGGTGAAGGAAAACATCGTGATGCAACCTGCACATGTCTGAGAAGAAATTCAAAGATATGTGTGAATTATTCAAACTTTCGTGTGACATTATACTAAACTGATATATAAACACGGCTAAACACTCACGTATTCACGGTGGCGGCACCGAATAGTTTCGAGCCCATCGGGGGCCCTTCATCAGGATGAGTGGTACTGGTATTATTTCGCGGACGCGGCCCGTCGCTCACTGATTTTTGATATGTGTGAAGTCAACCTCCATTGGGCCAGCGTGGTTGACTGTAACCTAGTCACACCTAACTTAGGGTAGACTCCGAGCCCCTCGGTGGAGATGTATAGTGAACTGATGATGATGATAGCTTCTTTATTTCTGTGATATAATTAGGCTTTTATATAAGCTTTCAAGTTATATAATTAAAACTCTTCTTTTCTCTTTTTAGTTTGTCACATTTACCTGTTGCAAAAAGTCGCCATAAATCTCTTTCTTTCATGCAATTTTTAATACCCAAATGTAACTTCAATTTAGGACCACCTTGCATAATGTAAAATAGTTAATTACATTGCACAGAGTGCTTTTTTTGCAACTGTATCGAAATTACTCGCGTCTTGATTATAACATTCAAGTCCGAGGAACCGGTCCGCGGTTCTTTATTTACTCTGTGATGTTTTTGCTCGTTTTAGTGCTGGGCCCTTCATTATCTCGGCAAATAATCGGTTCGCTTCGTTAGTATTAGTATATTCGAATTGAAATCGCACGCCTTTTATTCGATCATGACATGCTAGGTAAAAATAAAGCTGTCTTCACTGCAGTTTGTTTTTAAATTTAAATACGTTTATCAATTTTACACACATTACCCAACCATGGTATAATCTGTGCTTTGAAAAGGTGTACCTTACAAATGGCTTTAACACATCTGTAGTGCCTCTGGTGTTGTAGATATTCGAGTGATCGTGGTCGTCAGCTCTTCCCCACCGAGGGGTTTCATGTTTACCGTTGTGTATCGAAAGGTCAGACAAATGAATATGAAATTCGAAAAACATATTGGTATATAGCGGAGATTGAACCTGGAAATATATATTTTGGTTCGGACCGCTCTAAAATGTCAGCGTGCATCGGATCAATTAACATAAGGCGATACCACACGTGTTTACGCTTCTGTTAAAAGAGAATAATCTTTGTCTCATTGGTAGAATATTATGATCAAATCACTGTTTATAATTGGAAAAACATCATGATGCAACCTGCACATATCAGAGAAAAAATTCAAAGATATGTGTGAAGTCAGCCAACCTGCACTTTTCCAGCGTGATTGACTATGGTCTAGTCACCCCTAACTTAAGGTAGACTCCGAACCCTTCATTGGCGACGTAAAGTGAGCTGATGATGATGACTTTATATTCTACTACTTCAAAGGAAAGGTTCATCTTACATGACCTACCTAAGATTTCTACTATTTATGTAATGTTCAATTAATTCAAACTTAAATCACAGCCGACACTTTATATTTACTATTAATTAATACTGTCGGCGTTATTTACTGTCTGAGAGGAGATAGGGAGATCTTTGTCCTCATTTGTTCCGATAAGGGTGCTGTTCCACTGGGGTTGAGGAGGTCGAGAGATAACAAAGCACGGACGCTGACCCCAATGTGTTTAAACGAAAATCAATCTTACGGTTATGGGAATAGAAGTTAATTTATTTATAACAATGTGATGGTACAAAATCGTCTGACCGCTCTGATAGTGTCATCTCACAAGATAACTTAGACCCCTTACGTTTCTATTCTATGCTATGATAACAAAGACTCATTATGAGTATGATAATAATTTTAATTGTTTAATGCATTATTTATGGAAAATTAGAGACAAAGAAATTGTGACATCATCATCAGCTATCGTCCCCACCGAGGGGATCCGAGCCTATTCTAAGTGACCCTGGGTGGCTGGGTCATGTTCAACCACGCTGGCCGAGTGCGAGTTGGTTGACTTTACACATGTTTGAATTTCTTCTCATATATGTGCAGGTTGCATCACGATGTTTTCCTAACCGTAAGAACATCGGATAAATGTACATATGGAAATCGAATATCGAAAAAAACATTGGTACATTCGAACCCAGGACCTGCGGATTACAAGTTTATTGCTTAAACATCTGAGCCACCGACGCTCTGATTGTTGTATTATTTTAGACAATATTAGTTGGAAACATTTAGAACGAATGGCACGTTTTCGTTACCAAGTCAAGTCAGATTGGTTAGTGAGGGGACATAAACGTTGACATTTTAATAAGGCTAGTGTTGCGCCGATACACCGGCACAGTGTCGGATTTTCTTCCCAACAATACTTCAGTTTAATCCGGAATTTAAACTAGGTTTTATTCAAATAAGAAATTTGGTAACCACATTTAAAAAAATACTGTTGTTTCTTCTAGATAACGAAGGTATAATCTTGGATATTCACTGAAAAAATACAAAATTGATTATCCCGCTCACTGTCTTAAAGATAACAGAGGAAACTTTATGTTTTTGTACAAGTGTTTATACACTGGAAACATAAATTTATTTGTGTTGATAAAAAAACTCACAAAAGCTATGTTTCCAAACTTTTAATCCATTTTTAAATTTCCATTTAAACACAATAAATTGAAAAGTTTTATCAGAAAATATGCAGTTTTTTAGTACAATTTATTAACTTGATTAATAATTAATTCTTTTCTCTAGCTATAATTGTTAATTTATATTTGAAAGTTATTCACGATTAAGGTGGAATGCACATTAGACATAAGTTAAATTAGAATTAAAAGTTAAATTTATTATGTGTTTAAATGTTATCAAGAACACGTGAATTATGAGTTTAAAGTGCACTATGGTTTCAAAAACATAGACAAGACATTCTGAACCTTAACGACTTGAAAAATGTGTTAAAAATATAAAAAAATCACCTAAAACAAGAAAAATCAATTTAATCCGTCTTGTACGTATTATTGAATATTCATTAATACTCCAGAATGGTTGCTTAGTGTATTTTAATTGGCATAATACGTGTTCATCTCATTAGGGTCCGTACACACTAGATATGTTATCAGAATGTCAGTGGTACCGGCGAGACTGACGTTATCGTAACTCCATTTAATAGTATGTTGTATGAATTTAATATGTTGCTAATTAATGTATGGGTTGTATGTTTATGTATTTGAAGATTGCATTGACGCATTAACAAAACAAAATCTACTTTAAAGGTTAAAATAAATGTTTTTCTAATTACAAGTTATAAATTATTGTTTTTTTTTTATATCATAAGGTGGCAAACGAGCGAGCGGCCACCTGAAATCGCAGAAATAGCGAAGTGACCGTTGCCCATAAACATATGCGTTGCCTACCTTTAATCGACGGAGGAGAGGATGCACGGAGAGAAAATATCTTCCCTTTCCATGCATCCTCTCATTCGGAAAGTCCACTTCCACTTCCCATATCCTTTCCTTATAAGAAAAAGTGTGGGAAGGGAAACAAGACTCAATTAGACCTCCG